ATTAAAAAAGTCGATTGAACTATTTTATATAAACAGTTCAAGAAATCCCTTCCGTTATGTTTAATGAAAATGTCCTGATGATGGTCTAAAATAGACCGAAACGTCCGACGTTGACTTTATATTAACATTAATACAGTATAATTGCATATTAAGATTTTTGTTTGTTTTTTTCTGTATATTTTTCTTCATACTATCGGATCTATATCCATATATTTACACACACACACACACACACACACACACACACACATATATATATATATATATATATATATATATATATATATATATATATATAATGTATTATTAAAAAATATATATATATATAATTTTCAGATAATGGGTATTTGTAAAGGAAAAATGTTTCAAAAAACTATTCTTAGCCGTTACGTTTCGTACTCTTGGAAATTTCATCAATGCAATATATATACATATCGACTGTCAACTTAGAGCTTCGTAGTTTCTTTTATCTCTCATCAGGATCCTCGACTGTATAAGAAAAAATCTATTTACTTATATGTATGTATGTATGTATGCGCATATATATATATATATATATATATATATTATGTGATATATTGTCAGCTGTCAATATACCACATAACACTCTTGAGCAGTTAGCCTTGGAGCGGGTAGAATGGAGATCAACGTGTTTTAGTGGACTCAGCAGTTTTCAATCTCCTTGTCTGAATCATCTTCAAGAAGCGAGAGCAAGATCTAAAATGTCAGCCAATCTAACAGTGATCTCATCTCACAGTCCCTCCTCTTGCTCCATATGTGGCCTCCTTTGTAAATCACTAGCGGGTCTTAAGTGCCACTTAAGATTATCGCACAAAATTTCATAACTTAATCAATTAAGCTGTCAGATCCTTATATGTCGAAACTGACGGAGAATCTATTATATATATATATATATATATATATATATATATATATATATATATATATATATATATATTATCAGTTATTTGCGCCTAAGTGGTTATAACCACCTTGGCTGAAATTCGAACCCAGTCCTCCTATTTCTCATTTCGTGCCACTATCCATTGCACTACCTACCAACCTTAAAATAGCACAATAAAATACATAAATAAAAGAGAATAAATAATTAAGTTTACTCAGTAAAATAATCATTAAATTTGAATATTATGATACTTTTACTCTGTCTAAAATTCAATAGATTACAAATAAAACATTTCATATATTCATTTAGTTAGGATTTTAAAATGCAAATTTCTTTCTATAATGGGAAAATATAGAAATATTTCAAATTATATTACGTCAGTAATAACGTTTTTAGGAAATAAGAAAATTGGAAATAACTTTATCTAAAAAGTTAATGTTTTCTTTACGTATTTTAAAGTAGATGTCGTATCTTGAATTTCTTCGTCAAACTTCATTTTCTGAGGATTTTTTAAGCACTGCGCCCAACATTTTAATCCAAATAATGGATAATTTCTTGGATTTCTTCACCTAACCTCGTATTCAGAAGGCTAGATGATAGCCTGTGTCAAAGAACACGAGAAAGTTTATCCTGTAATAAAGGAAACAAACAAATTCAAAAGTGAATTTTAAGTGGACGAATAAGTGCAGATAAAACATGATACACTTACTACAGCGACAAAGAACCTAAAAATGAAAGAGAAAGTACAAGATAATCTTCTTTATAGTCAATACTCTGCCCGTACCAAACAAACCGGGTTTGGGTAATGAACCGGTAAGTAGTTGTACTGGACAGTAAGAAAAAGGAGAAGACGACGACGACAATAATAATAATAATAATAATAATAATAATAATAATAATAATAATAATAATAATAATAGCAATGTATCTTTGAAGATATTCAAAAAGTTGTCAAAGTACAAGGACCTTGAAATAGAAATCTCGAAAATGTGGCATATGGGAACATCAACAATCCCTGTTGTAGTTGGAGCCCTATGACTTGTTGGAAAAGATTGCAGTAGACTAATTGAAGGGATTCCTGGAAGTCCATGCCTCAAGGAGATACAAAAAATTGTTCTGACAAGTACAGCCCACACCTTACGAAGGGCTTTATCTATGTAATTAATTATTTTATTTATTTTTTTTTTTTTTGTCAGTGGAAAGTGTCATGACGCCATTTCTAACCTTAGGTCTCTGGGCGGGACCCGGAAAGAAATGTGTAAACGCCAGAAATCAAAGAAAATAAAAACAACAATAATAACAATAATAATAATAATAATATGCTTTCTTATTGACATAGCAGTGCCTGCAGATTGTAATGTATCTTTGAAGATCTCCAAAAAAACTATCAAAATCCAAAGATCTTGAGGTAGAAATCTAAAAAATATGGCACACGAGGATATCAATAATTCCAGTAGTAGTTGGAGCCTTCGGATTGATTGGAAACGATTCCGATAGACTCATTGAAGGGATTTCTGGTAGCCCATGGTTTAAAGAAATACAAAAAAATTGTACTCACAAGTACAGCTCACACATTATAAAGATTACAATTAAATTTAAAATGTGTGTGATCCTAGGGTTTTTTTTGGGGGGGGGATCAGTGAAAAATGTCATGATGCCTTTTCTGCCCTTAGCTCTCTGGTTGGGGCCAAGAAGAGAATGTGTACGCAACATAAACCCAAGGAAATAGTAATAATAATAATAATAATAATAATAATAATAATAAGCATGAAAGAAATAAGAAATTTATTCAGTAATATAAGAAGCCAACAAATTCAAAAATGAATTTCAAGTGGGTGAAGAAGTTCAGGTAAGACATGATACACTTACTGCAACGACAAAGAACCTAAAAATGGAAGCAAAATCAAATGCAATCGACCAAATGCAGAAACCATGGCAAAATAAACCTCTTCATGGTCAATACTCTGCCTGTACCAAACTAGATTAGTTGTATAGTGCAAGATTAAAAGCTGAAACCAAACGTTTTATTCTTGCTGCACAAGACCAATGCTTGCAAACTAGAAATTATCAATCAAGCATAAAGAAAAATGATTTGGAACTACAACGTGGCGTAATGGTTAGCAAGCTTATCTAGCTCGATAGATTACGAATGAATAATGAGTTCGATCCTCATTGAGTGTCCCATAGTTTCGATCGTGTGCCACATCTAAGCTACGCTTAGAAAATCGTCATGCTGATAATTGTTTTGACCCTAAATGCAGATATCTATGAAGGATCTCCAGAAGCATTTGACCATCTTGTTTCAGCCACCGAATATAAAATTCGGCATAACAAACTGGGCCAATATATGCGCTGGAAAATCTGGAACTTTTACGCGAAGGAACCTCCAAGAAATTGGTATGGACACCCCTCAGACGTAGAACTTGTACCAACATTATGGTACGTTAAAATAGACAGAAAAAATCAATGCTAATCGCCCATATATCGTGTTCAAAGACCACAAAAACATAATGTTCTTTCTTATTGACATGACAGGTTATACACTATATGTATCATTACAGATCCTCAAAAAACTATCAAGATACAAGGAATTTGAAGTGTAAATTTAAACATTTTGGCACATGAAGACATCAATAATTCCAGTTGTGGCTGGAGCTCAGAATTTGATTAGAAAAGATTCTGATAGTCCTCTTGAAGGAATCCCTGACAGCACATGCCTTAAAGAAATAAAAATATTGTTTTCATTGTTCTTACGAAGGGTTTAATTGTGTTTTTTGATTGCTTTATTTATTTTTTTTAATGTTTAGAGGAATATGATATCATGACTTTAGGTTTCTTGCTGGGACCCGGAACGAAATAATAATAATAATAATAATAATAATAATAATAATAATAATAATAATGTGATCTAAGACCACAAGAACAGAATGCGCTTTCTTAGCATTTCCTGCAAATTTTAATGTATCTTCAAAAAGTTATCAAAATACAAGGACCTTGAAATCGAAATTTCAAAACTGTGTCATATGAGGACATTAATAATTCCAGTTGTAGTTGGAGCCCTCGGATTGATTGGAAAAAACTTTCGATAGACTCATTGTAGAGATTCACGGTAGTTCATGTTTTACAGAAATAAAAAGTGCACTCATAAATACGGCACACTCATTAGGAACAGCTTTATCTATGTAAAATGTGTGTGATCTAAGGTTTTTGTTTTTGTTTTTTAAATGATCAGTGAAAAATATCATGAAGCCATTTCTGACCTTAGCTCTTTTATTGGGATTCGGAAGGAAATGTATACAAAGAAATCAAAGGAATACAATAATAAAATAATAAAATAATAATAATAATAATAATGATAATAATAATAATAATAATAATGAAATACAAATACTTGGAGATGAAAATAGAAAAAAATGTTGTACTTAAAAACTAAAACTGTTCATGTTGTGGTTGGAACTTTGGGTGTGATAAAGAAAGGAAATCAAAGAACAAATCAACGAAACCCCTTGTGCGTCATCTCTCAAGGTAATCCCCCCCCTACCAAATAATTCTAACAAGAACAACCAACATCTTTCGAAGAGCTGTCTTTTGTTTAATTAAGTCCTTTCACTTAGCTCATTGGTTATGGCTTGGCATGTGATTATTAAACAAATGAAGCTCAAAAATATTTTTTTAAAATAATAATAATAATAATAATAATAATGTTGATGATGATGATGATGTTTCTACATATGTATTATTCCCATGGCTTCTAATCTTAACTGATCTGAAGGTTTTAACGTATAACTGTTTTGTCTCAGTGATTTAACCTTTAGCATTCCGCATTATTAATATTACTTCCTATTTCCACTGCATTCTTTTTCAAGGCCACTCAGTTGCTGTAACCTTATTGTTAATTTCAATCAAAGTTGTTTTCTGTTGCCATAGCAGGATATGACAACACAACTAGGAAATTCAAATTCAGAGATCAGAGTGACATTCAGTGGCAGGATAAACATTTTATACAGCAAATGAAATGACATGGGATAGAATATTCCGTTCTTCGTGCATATTTAAAAAAAAAATTCTGTCGTTTATGATCAATGAGTTTCTGGACTTACGGCCATATCACGGTGCAGCACCGGTTCTCGTCCGACCAGCGAATTTAAGCAACGTCGAGTCTGGTCAGTATCTGCATGGATGATCACTTGGGAATAGCAAGTGGTGCAAGCTTTCAGGTGCGGTCTTTGTAATGGATAATGGGTCGGAATTGTTAACTGGCGTGTAGAGTTTCAATTCCAGTTCAGTTCGTTATATTCACTGACGCGGGAAAAGTATGAATCCACCTCTTCTCCCCCTAACTATAGGTTAATTAGACTTCAAAACCATTACATTCATTTACGTGCTAACACCCTTGGGAAAGGTATGAATCCTCTTCTTCCGAGTTATGGGTAAATAGCAGGACACGCCAGATTCTATAGCCTTTGATGGCAACTGGTCTACCGCAGAAAGAAATGGCAAGCTACTGCGGGGAAAAATATGCCTCGTCAGTCATGTATCGAATGATACATGATCGCCTAAGCGTGTATCACGAGTAGCAGATAACTGACTGATCACTAATTCATTATTATCTAAAAAAGAAATTATTACACTGTAAAAATATTTTCTGGTTTTCTGCAAAGGGTTGATAAACCGAAAAAAACCCAAATCACTCAACCAATAAGATCCTTAGAAGAAATAAATAATTAATGTGGTGGATTGCTAAAGTCTAATTCAGTCTCATTGATTATGATATGTTCAATATGATTATGATAAGTTTTAAATCTGGGGATTTTCATAACACGAAGAATGGTAATCTCCAATTGTGTATGGGGTGACACGTGGGCCATACCCTGGCTGTTGACGAAATTGAGATGGAACTCCCACAAAGACACGCAAATCATATACGAAGCGTGTAACGCAAATTCCTTTTATGGGTGGTCTGCTCTGATACAAAAGGACGGATATGGTTTTCTTCTTCCTTTTTTTTTTTTATTTAGCAGCGGTAATGAATATTATCCTATAATTGAATTTGTGATATTTACAGACAGCCAAAACAGCAACGAACGATATATATACATAGATAGATAGATAGATAGATAGATAGATAGATAGATAGATAGATAATGCTGCAAGGGTAATACAGACACACACGCACAAACACACACACACAAACACACAAACATATATATATATATGTGTGTGTGTGTGTGAATGTAGCTGTAAATCTAAGACCTAATAACGAAGTAACCATTTATTTTGCACATTAATTTCAGACATAATGTCTGTCTTTGTCAGTGCACTTAATTTAGCGGGACATTGTAATCATCTAGATCGAATATTTTACACTGACAATATAAAATCGTACAGATCGAAAATAAGCCACTGACAATTTATAATCATATGTATTGGATATTATGCACCGACAATTTAAAATCGCATAAATCGAATATTATATACTGATAATTTAAAATCACATGGATCGAATTTTAAATCAGATAGACCGAATATTACGCACTGATAATTGAAAATGCATTTAATCACTGAGTATCTGGCTACGAAATATTGACCACACTTCATTACTCATTATAAAAGATGATTTTATTTTTTCCTTAAACTGAATTTATGGATTGATTTATGTATATATTTACAGTTATCGGAATGATTTATTTTTCAAACCCGCTCAGCACATTGTAATCCTGTTCATAGTTGATATTATTAAATGTTGTCTTTTATTTTTATTAATAACCAGCAGCATGGCTCGGCGTTGCCCGTGCTTGATTCAAAAATCGTACGACTCATACAGCAATCGTTATCACTTGACTTAAAATATTTTTGCCCTTCCTTGCCTTTAAAGGGGTGCCCTTTTCCGTGCTGATGTTGCTACATGCCTTACTTCTTGCCTATCTCACACTGAGAATTTTTTCTAAGCTCTATACTAAACATTAAATCTGTTACGAAAAAAGAACTAAACAAAATGAACACAAAATGATCAGCTTTTAAAAAGGACTCGTAACTGGAAAAACCGAATGAAAAAAGAATGTTAACAACAAATATTTTTCACACCCAACCCAGTTCTGCGGAATCAGAATCAAAATTGAGTTTAAGCAAGCGAATGAGCCAATTGCAGTAAAGTGCCATGCAGATTTAAATTTTTCCCACTTGTGACGAATACAGCTATCGATTTTTTGGCATGCTAGCATGCTAGTTAACATTCGTGTTAGTCAGCTGTTGGCTCTCATGCTGGGCAATAGAATCTTCCTGCCTATTTGTGGCAGCCAGCTATTGGCTCTCACTCTGACCAGTACAAAATGGCCGCAAACTACATGAAAACTGCCGTAGAAGCATGAAAAAATCGATTATTTCCACTATCGATGGGAGTTGAGAAATGCAAAGTCGGTCTTGGGCTTCCCGCAAACTTGGAGCACGTGCATGTAAATTTTGGTGCAAATCCGTCGAAAATTGCGGCCGTGCATTTGTTACACACACACACACACACACACACACACACACACACACACACACACACACACACACATCCTGCCTTTTATAGATAGAGATGCTTCTATTATTTTTTATTTTGTTTATATATATATATATATATATATATATATATATATATATATATATATATGATTTTTGAAATATAGTTGGCAAAATAGAAAGAGAGATAATTTACTTCATTTTGTGCTTCATTAACGTGGCCTTGTACCAGCTTCAACTTAAATAAAATTTACTGAAGGCACGTGAGTTGGCGAAGTAGGTTTGATCCAATTCCTCAGACCTACAAATTCAAATAGAAATCTTAAAATATCTTCTGATTTCTTTTTGAATTTGTAGGACTGAGGAATTAGATCGTGATTATGATTCCAATGTAATGTAATACATTTTAACCATGGAGTATTAGTGTTTGAGCTTTATATATATATATATATATATATATATATATATATATATATATATATATATTATACAACATATTTTACATTTGAGACATGTTTTATTGAATAATTTAGACAAGTTTTCTCTTGATATTTTCAATCCGATACTTTCATATTTTTTGTGTCATTATTGAAGGAAGAGAGAAAATTACCAGGTTGATAAATATTCATTGATTCCATGTACTTTCGACATTAGCACAATGTCATCATCAAGGTGTTGTTTATTTCAAGTTAAATATTGTCGTGTTGATCATTTTTCAAAGACAAAATTGCTATGTTCATCTGAAAGTTATTTCTTTTTACAAGGGAAGTGCAAAAAGTTTATGTGCTGTACAGTACGATTCAGCTTGGTGTAAAACGTAGGTGAGGTAATTAAGTTATGGCGTTGTCAAGAGTATTTTTAAAATAGTAAGTATTAAAACTTTTATTATATTTTAAACTCTCTAATGTAAGTATTTTAAAACATTTCGAAATAAGCGGCAATTCGAAATGTAATTAATGTTATTAAGGTTTGGTTTTCATTTTTTAAATCTAGATAGCTTCGAAAATTTTTAGTTGATGTTTATTATTTTCATGAAAATGTATAGATGTATTTTCAACAAGAATTTTTTCTGAATTGCGAATGTGGACTGGTATGTTGTAATGTTTCATACAAATGAAAACTCAGACGCCGAGACAACGTAGTCGTAGCGTGACCAACGTAAATATTATTTATTCCGTTGGAGATACAATCACCCAGAGGACATATAAATTTAAAAATAATGTTGCTTTTCGGCAACATGTTAGTAATGTGGGGAAATGACTGAATTTGATATACTAGAATTAGTGTTGTATATAATTAATTTAATTTTTTTTTTTACTGGCATCTGTGATGGATATATTAATATTTATTATTTTTTTAGGATATTTTCATCTTGTTTATAATTAAGATTAATATGTTTGTTTTTTATGTAGAAGTATTATATTCTATTTGCTTTGTATTAAAATTTCTGATAGAATATCTTATTTGTTCATCAATATTATAATTAAGGAAGTTATTATTAATAAACATTTGTTTTATAGTTTTTAGTTCATTGTAGAAAAATATATTTAATCGGTACCACCTCATGCAAGGCAGAAAAGCCACTAAGACACAACGGGTTATTGGGTGTGGAAGAATCGGGAACCGAAACATTAGTAATAAGCGGAAAGAGTAATCAGGAAGATAGTAGATAGCGATTAATATTGCATTTTATTTTTTGCCGATTAAAGTTGGCCGGAAAGGAGTTCCACAAGCGAGAAGTGCGAGAAAAGAAACTGTTAGCATAGAACTAACGGCTACATCTAGCTAACTGCAAATGGATTAGATCTAGCCAGTAGAGTACTGCGCTTAAATTAAAATGTCTAGGTACCATAGCGAACTATTAGCATAGAACTAACGGCTACATCTAGCTAACTGCAAATGGATGAGATCTAGACGCCAGTAGAGTACTGCGCTTAAATTAAAATGTCTAGGTACCATAGCGAACAGCTCATCCAAACAGTTACCAAGAAAGTATTTATAGAAAAGACACAGGGAGGCAAGCTTAAGGAGGTGTTAAAGTGACTGAAGCCGAGATGCCAGAACATGACCAATATTATTGCTGATTCTTCTTTGGATTTTATCAAGGAGCTTAAGGTAAATAGCAGGGGTACCGAACCATATCTGACAGCAATATTCTAAGCATGGTAAACTTAGAGATATGTAAGAGTCTAGGCACTCTAGCGAAGAGCGATATTTATTTCCGCTTGAATACAGAAAATGTGGCACAAAGCCAAAAATGTCGAATGGGTTAAAGGACGGTCTTCTTTTGTCTTAACCTTCAACTTAGGTAGCCACAAACCCTGGTCAAAACATACCACAATATTCCTAACACCAAACACATCCTTACCTTTCTTACTACATCCAACATAATACCTCATTGTCTCTATGAAAATCCTAACTAGTCCCCATATGTACAATTCATTGTCTGTAGCGGAGGGAAGGAATATGGATGAAATCTAGACGCCAGTAGAGTACTGCGCTTGAATTAAAATGTCTAGGTACCATAGCGAACAGCTTATCTGAACAGTTACCAAGAAAGTATTTATAGAAACTACACAGAGAGGCAAGGTTAAG